CAGCAGCCCAGGTTCAATTCCAACCTGCAGCCCTTTAGTGCACATCGTCCCCCCTTTCCTGTCTATCTACAGCTCTCTTATCAAAAATAAAGGTATAAAAAGCCCCAAAAATGTACCTTAAAAAAACTAAGTTTGGCTTAAAGCGACGTCTTATAAAGGAATTACTTGTGACTTTAACCTCAAAAAGGCTCTAGTCTCTAAGTCTGTTTTACCATCTTTTTGTGTAGAGACCTAAAAAACAGGGCTAAAATCACAACAATCAGAAAATAGGTTGAATTTACTTAAACAATGTAAATGATTGAATTGTAAAAACTGCTTTATGTTTATTTCTCTTCATGTATTTCCCCATTTCTCTCTCACCATGTGCATCTTCTGAGCTTTCGTGTGGCAACCTCCTTGGCCTTTACAGGGAAATCTAACTGGGATTGCGTGCAAATGAAGATTTCCAACCACTGTTCAATCAGATCAGGGAGTCAGATGAGCTAAACCAGGAAGGAGATACAGTAGGAGTGTGTGCATGCATGTGTGAGATAGAGGGAGAGAGTATGTGCTTGCCTCCATCTATTAGTAGGAATAGAGTCTCTAGTGTCACACTAACTTTGTGTTACATGCCCCTCTAGGCTTAAGGAAGAGGCCTGCAATGAGCCTATTACCTATGCAAACTGACGTCGCCCAAATAAATACTGTGACTGCCTGTTTCAGGTTGGAAGAATGAGGAGGAGGAAAAAAGGTATGTGTGCCATCAGGATCACTGTGCAGAGGAATAAAATGCATACTTATGTATGCAAGAACAGGTACAAACACACGGGCAATGAAGTGTGTGACTCACTCTTGCAGTAACGGCTGTATCATCCGAGGAGAGTGGAATATCCATGGCTGTGTATGGAGTCATAGACCGGGGCCAGAACCTATCATCACCATCATTACCATTACCTGTGAAGCAGCCACACTCCACACAGCAGGGAGGCAAATAACTGCTCCCCTCAGGGATGCAAATTATCCACACATTGCTCAGCAGCTGGCCACGATGGAGATCCATCTGAGAGAAAACCCTGTTCACTAATAAATCTCAGCTTTCCCCTGTTGACAAAGTTTTATACACCCCATGCAACGGAAATCTCCTTCTTATTAAATCTTTTCTGTCTTTAATGTGCAGCAAGAACATTAAAAACTTGTTCATTCCAATGTACTGTTCGTGTTTCAAGATTTTTCGATAAGATAAGGCAGGTGGGTGCACTAGAGTTGAAAAAAATTAAACTTGATTTCAGCAAATACTTAGCTAAGTTGATTTGTTGAAACAGGGTAAATTATTCTCGGTTCACATTTTAAGAAAACTTAAAAAACAAAACAATACTGGATGAAAAGGAATTCATTTTAGAAGTTGAATGAAATCAGGCTTTTGGAGAACCTGAGTTAAGTTTAGAGACAATGAGCAACAAATGCAAAGAACATATTGCAAAAGAAAGGAAATGATGTGGTAGTGGAAGAGGAGAGACAACTCTACAGGAATAGAACTGTCAATGCAGCCTTGAGTGGATTTAGTCTGATCGTTTTAGGTGAACGGGGAACAATTGGTTACATGCTCTCTCAGCTTTTTCCTCTAACATGTTTTGTTTTAATTGACTTATTCTTTTAACGCTAATCCCAGTAATCCTCCAACTGATCTGCGGATACTCAACTTGATGCAGCCTCCTGAATTTGAAAGGGCAGCAAAACATTCAGCTTCCTCTCAAATGCAAAGTGGATTTCAACACTCTATGTACATAACATAACCCAAAAAAGAACAAGAAATACATATTTGAGCTTACTAACCTTTCCTTGAAGTCGAGGAAGATCTTGCCCAGGCCACTTCCTCCACTGACCATGTTCAGGTCGATGGCTCGCAGGAGGGCAAAGTGGACTTTGATTACATCCTGTATCAACATCACAATATACATTAGTAATCTATCCACTCTATTACATTACTCTTTCAATCATACACACTTACATACAATACATTTAGGTGTGCAATGATATATATATTTATCCTGAACTATTCCGTACAATACGTTCCTTGCATTTGCTTGATATGCCCTATGATTTAAATGATTACAGACTTCTTAGTCTAATACAGTCTAATTATATCTAACTATGTCTTGACATATGTGGAAGCTAAACTTGAAGAAAAGTTTGCTGCTGGTGTATCAACTGCTTTCAGCTTAACACTGATAGTTAAAGGATGAGGCTGCCGTTAGTCTGCATTTTTCTTATCGTCAACATGACACGAAAAATTAGTGGTGGTTTTAACTATTTATTGCAGCAATGTGCATTTTAGTTTGCCGGTATGACTGTGCTTGTGTGATGCTTTGGTACATGTCCGAGCAAGCTTTTACACAGACCCCATAGCTCACAATGACTGTGATTCACTGTTAAGGTTTTCAAAAAGAATGAAAAGAAATGGAATCTTTTGCCCCCCCACTGTGATATAAGAATACTGAACCATGACACCAGCATCTCAGTGCATATCGAACCATGAACTTTGCATACCGGTACACCCCTAATATGCATATATACAACACATCCTGTCAGTCATTCAGCCATGCGTACACATATTGAATTATTCACTTGGTGCGCGACACATCCAGGCATGCTGTATAGACATGATTTTCTTTGCTTGAGTGGTTACTCACCTCAAGATTGACAAATATAGCCTCCATGTCTTGTGGACTCAAGACTTGCTTCAACGGGATCATGTAATTCTAAAGAGAAACAAAAGACAAATCATTGAAAATGTCTTTTTTAAAAGAGAAAAAGTCCCTCTTAAAAAAACAAATCCTGTAACTCACAGGTGTCAGTTCAGTATTGATAAAATGAAATAAAAATCTGGGCATGCTTTTAGCAGATCTGTAAGAATTTATTTGATGGACAGCACAACTGAAAGTTAACTGCAGCAACAAAAAAAAAAATCAATACCATTCCACACTGTAAAAGATGGAGTGACTATTTGTGTTCACTGAGTGTGTGAAGTTATTTAATTTCAAGCTATAACACTGTATTGGCCATAAATAAATACTATACAGCTGTTCTCTATGCAGCACTTATGCTTACAGAAAAAAAAAATCCTACCTATTGTTTCTCTAACGTTTTATGGTTGTCACATTCCATCATCATAATAATAACAAATAGATCAACTAAGAAGCAACGGCGAGATGACGGCTTTATTAACCCCAACTCAATTAAGCTTAACGAGTCCTCTGATCATAAGAAGGTTATTTATTCTCATTTAGTCTCGTGTTGGTCTGACGCGGAAAACACAGGATACACATTTAGTTTAATGAAATTAGTGGAGCGGGTGATTTGTGGCTCTCCATCAAATTGCAGATGAAATCTGTCAATGCGGAAAGTGAAAGTTAGCACACGCAACGGTTCATTATCACACTGTAAGACATGGCGTGTGTGTGAGGAAGTTTTTGATTCTTTAAGCACCTGAAATGTTCGGTTTTACAGGTATGCAACTTGAGTTTGGCAGCAGTAGTGTTGAGTGTGAGGCGTCCAATCTAATTACTAGCTACTGCTATGCAGCGGTAACACGGGAAAAAATACAAACTGTGTTGGGCTGGTGAACATAGTATTAAGAGGTAAGGAGGTCCTTCTTTTTTGAATAACTTGTTGCCAGTATGTGTGTGCGTGCGTGCGTGTTCACGTATATATGGCCTTGCGCCTGTGATGTGTGGGTCTATACTTAAAGCCCCAGGGGTCAGCATCTCCCACGGGGGCTGAGCCAGTAATAACCGAATCGATCAGCTCCTGTGACATTTGTGCTCCCCAATGAATCTGCCAATAGCTGACATTTCCATGCTGTGACCCGGGCCAAAAGAGCCTGAGACACCAACAAAGGAAGAAGTGACAAAAGGAAATTCTAGCACGACATTGCTTGCACTGGGATAAAAATGCACACCCAAATTTATGTTCGCACACAGCAACATATTGTGACGCTCACCTTCTCAATGTCCTCTAAAGTCTTGTAGTACTTTGCTTCAGTCTCCTGGATCTCCACTAAGCAGCAATTTCTCTTGTCATCTTCTGTCATACCCATTTTCTGTGGTGAGTAAAAGAAATATAATGAGTCAGGAGAATTATGATTACGGATTATTGATTATCTTTTTATTTACAAAATAGTGCTGTCTCCCTTTTTACCTTATGATTGCTGTTTACTACTTTTAATATGACTATCAGGATTATATGTTTTTCAGTGATGGTTAAATAATATTAAGGAATTGCAGTTAAGCAGTTTGCAAACCGTGCTGCTGTGTTTTAGAAATTTGAACATTCATTTGGAAATAATTAATTTCCAGACAGTATAGCACACGCTTGAAAATTGCTTGAGTTGCGCAATTCATTAAATTACATTATCTGTATGATTTCCAATCAATTTACACTTGCACTGCATTACCATACGACCATTACGTACCATTGACAAAAATGAATGTGTACTTGATGTTGATCGTAATGGATTACAAGACTCAAGCAGCTTTCAAGAGTCTGTTTTACTTAATTTCAACCAGATAATCCACTCATAATCAATACTGCTTTCCGGGAAGTCCCAGGCATGAAATGGATTGGATTTTGCCAATTGATTTTCCCACTGTCTAAAATTTAATGGAAATCAATAGCTGCAGGAACAAAAGGAAAAAATACCTCCAAGAATCTAAGTCTACATTCAAACTCCATCAGGAAAAAAGTTAACATGATGAGAAGTTAAGGTTCTACAAACATTACAAAAACACCACAAGTCTGTTTAATTTCCAAATCTACTTGAACCCGATGAAAATGTTGGCGCACAGTGACTGACTGCAGTTGCTGCCATGGCTCGAGTGAAGTAAGAAAGGGAGGAAAGTGTGCTGGAGAGCTTTTGTGTGTTATTGTATGTGTAGGCAGCCTGGCTGAACAAGGCATATTTATGTATATGACTGCAAATGACAACATTTTTTTTAATGTATAGCTATGCAAGCAGGCATATTGTAAGGGGGCGGTGAAGGATGGGGAAGATACAAACGTATCTACATAGAGCGTTTCCTATAAGTCTCCATGCACGAACATGTGTATTCCCATATATACGTGTGTTTCTTTGAACAATATACTGTAATGCCTATTGTCAGTGACTCACCCAAATGAAAAAACCCACATACACAGAGGCTTAATTTCTATACAGACTTTCTATGCTGTGGCAGTGGTATAAGCATCTTGATTGTGGAATAACTGACAAAGCCATCTGGTGCAGATTTGGCTGTTGATAACCAGCGCTGATAATATAAAAACTGGGGCTAACAATGTAGAAATGCAAGTCCAGTCCAGGCCTCAATCCAGCATGTAATCAACCAATCAGAAGCAAGATTCAAAGCCAGCAGAATAATGTTTATTTGTCTCATGCTTTGAGGTTCTGTGTAGCAGCTGGTGGTCCTCGCTGACGTCAGTTAACACTGCAGTCACCGAGCTGAAGTCGCTGTCTCCAACTGTCTCCAATGGGCCCTGAGTCAGACTTTAAACCAGATGGGGTCTCCTTTTCCCCTATGCACGGGTCAGTAATCTAACTGGCAGGTCATTCTCCTGGGAGACTACGAGTTTGTCTTAAATAAAGTGGTGGAGGGAGTTAGCTGACAGGTTGGGTGAGTCACAAGCACAGCGGCACTCACCTGCATGTATCTGATCTGCAGCATTGGGAAAGGCAAAGCAGTGCAAGTCAGAAGTCAAATTTATCACCAGTTATGCAAGAGACATCTAAGTGTGTTTAGAGATATGACATCATGCAAATACTAGAGGCCCCAGAGACAATGATAATGCACATCACATAAATAATCTAAGGTTATTGTGTTTCCTCTTCTTGCACTATGTGTTCATTGCATCCTCTCTGGGAATAGAGAATAGACTTTAATGCAACCATTGATTTTAGATTTATATCCAATAAGTCAGATTAAGTGTTGTCTACTGGATGTAGTCTAGAGTGAATTTAATAATGCAAAGCTTCATAGACATTCAGCAGGCATCAGATTCACAATACAACAAACCTGAGACAACCCAATCATCACAATTTATCCAAAATATCCCTGTTGACAAAATGGCAGAGACTGTGAAACAAAGTTCTCACCATGGGTTGTCGTACTTCCACCTTAATGATGTCCTCATAGATGTCATCCCCGTCGTCCTCACACGGCACACAGTCGTAGATGTCATCCTCACCCAAGTCATGCTCACTGGGGAAAACACGTGCACACAGGTAAGATGAACAGCTGTATCAGAACACAACCTGAACTCAAAGGATGAATCCTTTTACTCTGCCAAAAAGGCTCATATGTCCACTTTAAACTGCTCTGACAGCTGAACTGCACAGAGCCGTCAAACCAGTGCGAGCTCATTATCTTTCACGAGCCCGGACTGAAGAGTGATATTGGTGCTCCAGGCAAGGGGACACAGTACCTGATTCACAAACTCCACCAAGTTTCGTTATTGAGTGGCATTTCCCTTTAATGTGTTTATGTTGCTTTGGCACCCAGCTAGCTAACTGACCTTTAATTAGGCAAGCAGCCAGCAGAGCACAGACAGTTACTGGGGAGAGGAGCGTCTTCTGGGGAAGAGCCTCATGCTCTGGGAGCCCACACTGTATCTGCCTGTGTTCTGTGAAAGCAATTATTGTTTGGGAAACTTATTGAGGCAGTGGAACACACTTTGGCAATGGGCCCATATCGATGTAGTTAATAAACAAGGAGCTTTAGGTCGCCAAAAAGAAAATAAATGATTAACTATTGTAAATAAATAAAGGTAGTAAGAGTTACCTGCTGAATAATGGAGGACCAAGCTTGGCAACGGTTTGCTTGTTTAAACGAAATTCCATTCACCTCTAGTGTGAGGTGGAGGCAGTATAATGCGCATGTATTATGTGGTCATTCAGTGAGTTACAATGTGGGCTACGACTTGATCCCTGTTTTTGTTTTTGTTATATTTGTCTACCATTAAAGGTATGCAGACTTAGCTATTAGCAATCCCTCTTTGCAAAGGACCCATGAATGTACAGACAACTATCACTGGACTACTTTGATACTAAAAAACATGTAAAAACATGATGGTTCTTAGGCAGGTTTTGGAGTTGTAAGAGTCACACTGAATCTATCAATATGCGTATCATGTCTGTGTGTTCTGATTTGATTGAGTTATATTGAGTTATATACAATTTGTCAATCTGTACCGTCTTCACATGCTCAGAAATGGAGGACCAGGGTTTAAGTTCTGCAAGTGGCCGCCCTGCTTAAATGTCCTTGAGCAGGACATTTGATGCCTAGCAACTCAAGGAATGCTGTTTTGTGCGCTGACCTGGCCTGAGTGGGGGCGAGCGAAAAGAAGATTTCTCTTCTTGGATGAATAGCGCCTCATCCAAATGTATCAGTGTGTGATCCCCAGCACGTACACCTTCCTGTTTGAGTATTCTTGAGGAAGATACTTCCCCCCTTCTTGCCTAATAGGGGCCATAACCTGGCTGTCCCACCACCAAACCAACCATGTCCAGACCAGCAAATTTAATTTCACTTTAAAATCCCCCAAATGGGATTTTCTGTAGGGATTTTATATACTTTATTATTTAATGAATATTCTAAAACAACATTTATGGGCACAGGTTGTTGGATTTTCACTACAGTGATGTGGCTACATACAACCTTCTGCCTCTATCATCATAGCTAAAACATGTCTCCTCTCACTGCATGAACGGGGGATGACAAAATCAGAGAAGATAGAACTGCCCTCAATCAAATATTCAGTTTTGTCGTCAAGCTCACGTGAGGGTTGTTTGAAGTTTTAATTGAGGTGGCTTGGTTCACTCTCAGCACTCTGCTTCTCCTTTCATAATTAAGTTAAAGTGGCTCATGTTGAATACTAAGAAGGCTGTGTGGGAGGACAGCGGTCAGCCGATGCTATCCCATTGGTGTCTCCTCTCTGAACTCTGAGACTACAGTAGGCTCCACAGAGACTGATGTGTTGCTTGACAGGGAAGTTTTTCTCAAAAGCAGGTGTTGTACTTCATTTTGCTACAATCCCTAAGAGACATATTATATGATGGAGGTCTGGTGCAGTATGACCTATGGAGAGATCTAAGAGGAGCAGGATCTCCACGGAGAACATGGAGGAGGAGATGGAGGGCAGACTGAGTGGGGTCATTTTATAGTATATAGTAGTATAGAGTATTAGGACAGATAAACATGATGAGCTTTAAATAGAAAATAGTGAAGCAGAATAGAAACATTTTCTGTTGGTTTGCGCCATCTGTTGATCCTGAACTTGACTAACATTAGTGAGAGTTTGTCAAAGGGGTATTCATTAGCAATGACATTTAAGCCCCTTCCTCTTTTCCCAGAGGGTTATTTTGTCATTGTCCAATGCTCTTTTGGATCAATCAGTCAATTCAAGATATTTGTAATGCTTTTCATCAATGATTACTCATTGATCACTACATTTGACTGACATGGCTAAGGTCTTGTGAGGTTTGAAGGAGAAGCTTCCTATTGGCTGATTACATTTCTCAAAATATTATAACCAGTATTTTACTGCATATGCTCTGTTGATCAGAGTTTATTTATTCTGAAACCTCCTTTATATTTCTAATTGGTGATGTAATTAATGAACTTCGTAACTGACTGGCGGTTTCCCCTGTCAATATGCATTGATCCCAAAGTCAAATAACTCTGATGTACCCCATACCAAGATCTTAATGTAGTAACACGTAAGCCTACTATACAGTACATATCGTACTGGATACCATAAAACCAAAAAGGTTGCTGCTAATGAAAAATTCTTGTTTTACCTACACACTGCACTGTTAAAGCACAACTGTGTAGTAAGGACATTGAACTGTTAGCAGTTAGC